TCTTCAGAATTCTATGTTTTCGACGAATTAATCTAAATCGAATCAAACCATATATAAGGTTGTTACAAAAGGAATGAAATGTATGATGCATTGAACATTTTACAGGCCTATACTTGTCGAGTTAATTCAATTCATCTTATACCACATCCGAACTATAATGTATCAAAACAATAAAATTGAAGAAAAATATTGGGATGTCAGTTGGATATTTAGCACTTTAAATCAGAATTCAAATTTATTTAAAATTAACTAAGGAAAGTGGCTCTTGGTCGTCGAGAGATAAAAGTCGGAAAATCCTTTCAAAGACTTTTTGAAATGAAGCCCCACTTTCCTTGATGAGGACAACTGCAGAAAGAATAACTAAAGATATCGTCCGGACAATCTATCCTAGGTTAACTACCACTGGACAACTAGTCCATAGTATAAGCTATGATGGTGGTTCGTGTGGCAGGAGAATCAAGTAATGGTAGGTGCGGAAGTAGGAGAAGCGGTAGCCGGAGTCGTCGGGCTAGTTGTTGGTGTTGTTGCTGATGACGGTGAGAGAAGCTAGCGGTTGCAGTTGCAGTGGTGGTGGTAGGAACTGTGGTGCGATTTGTGCTGGTAGGAGTGGTAGAAGGGGGTATTAGAGCTTGTTGTCGGTGTTTCCGATGGTAATAGTAAGAGAATCAAGCAGAGGTAGTAGTGTTGGCGTCGATGGTTGTAGGAAATGAAGTTGTGGTTGCGATGGTACTTGTAGGTGGAGTGGTAGCTGGAACTGTGGAGCTTGTTGTAGGGAGTGCGGCTGTTACCACTGGATGAAAGATAAACATTGAAAATGGACTAATTATAGACCGGAATATAGATCCAAGCGTTCATTTTACTCAGAGCATTTCTGAATAAATCGTGTAAGAAAGAGAGAGGGAAAAAAAAGAGTATACCCCAAAAAGAAGATCTGAATTGAGTTACCTCTACAATACAGAAATCTTATCATCTTTGTTATCTGGAGTATGGATAAAAATGTGTCCCCCTTCTCCAAAAAGTGGGAAATATTTGCCCCATCCATCCCTTGTAAAATCCAGATCTTACGTGACGTCAAATGTTGAGACTTACTTGCGCATGGCATGACGTTCTCATTGGATGTGCAGACAGCTTCCATGGCTGCGCATGCGCCTTTGATTGGCGCGCCGTGTGCCGTGCAGACGATGTTTGATCTCTTCGCCATGTTGAGGTAGACTTCGACATTGTCACCGTTCCAATTCGGGATGTACTGCCCTGGTCGTTGGAGGTTGTCGCCGTGCTCTTTCACGTCCTCGATGACGTCGCTGTTGCAGCCACTGATGCCGGGGAACCCCTTCTCTTTGATGTAAAAGCTGCACATCTCGCGGAGATGCTGCGTCATGATTGACGGGGCTGTTGAAGCCGCTTTATGTATAGTGGGAGTGGTTTTTGTTTTGGAGAAAAGGAATACTCGAATTAAAAGGATTTTCGAAACGGAACTAAATAAAAGCTAGTTTTGCCAGGAGGGATTTTACATCCCTCCATGGTCACTGACAGGTGGTTATCTCATCAAATCAGCTCTCTATTAACATAAGAAAAAGGGGATCATGGGGGACCAACGGTCACCGATTAGGCATTGCTTGCTTTAAGGTGGGTGTGGTGGCTATCAAAAGCTACAGATAATTTCAGCCAATGAATCATTTAGATAAATACAGAGGACCAGAACGAAGAAGGCATTTGGAGTAAATATTAATCTGTTATATATCAAATTATTTCCAAACAGATTGTCATATAGTTATAGGCCCGAATTCACAAAGGAGGTTTGTCGACAAACCTTGGTTTTCGTACGTCATATGACGCGTTTTACGCGTTTTTTTTTACAAACCTGGTTTGAAAAGAACAAAAGGAGGTTTGGCGAAACAAAAGAAGGTTTGAGCTCAAACCTTGCTGTGTGAATTCGGGCCATAAAGAATATATAATCCCCATAACATCGAGGTAGCTAGGGAACTGGTTCAAATTTCTGAATTGCCGTATACATGGTCGAGATTTGGGTGCCTTAAATTATCATATAATTACAGAAATAAAAATGATTTGAAATTCAACTTACGATATCCCTTGACAACAGAGAGAGTCATTACGAAGACACATGCTGCGAAGATCATGCTCTTCTGTAGAATATATAGGGAAAATGCAATAAATCGTTATAAAAATGTTTTCGAAAAAAAAAAATATATTTGCATTTTGATTTTTTTTTCCAGTCTGGAGTTTCCATTCTATGGTGCATTTTGTGTAGTGTACGAGCAATAAAACACACAATATATTAGTAATAGTATAATTTGTACCCAACAACAATTGACTTTATCATTATTACGTTTAAAGTAGGCCTATCACTGGCGTACGATATTGTACATTTTTTCAACTGAACTATTGCAATACCAATCGTTTCATTGCATTATCTCAAAACACCAATACAATCCAAGAAAGGCAAACGCCCCTCTGTGAATACAGGGAGTATTCCATTTGAACGCCCCCCCCCCCTTCAACGCTGACGACCAGTCGTGCCTGAAACCACGGGGGTTCAACAAACCGTATTTGTATCTAACATCAAATCATATAATATTCGTCGTATGTTGCTGATTAGAGAAAACAAACTAACAAATTACGATATTAAATTAAAAAAAGTTGTCACTATTTATTCCATACTGAATATCAAAGTTGCTCAGATAAACAAGACTAAATCTCTGACTTACTACGTTTGATGCCATCTTGTATCCAACGGGATAGTTTTTCTTTCTTCAAGATATCTTAAGAGCTCCTCTGAAACCGACTTCGATCTGATGCTGCAATTGAATGGTGAGCCCTGATTTTCTTATCATATTTATACAAGTTATCTAACAATGATACTTCAAGAAACATTAAGACTTGCCCAGTATTTAGAAAAATAACTGGCCTTGCATATCAGCATGTAAGGAATTCCTGACGTTTCACATTGCAAAGATCACAAGACCCTTTTGATGCCCTTTATTGATTCGTCGTGCCCCTGAATAATTTATTTCATGTATATGATTGAAATCATTAATGTTGTACATAATTGATTGTGTTTTTGGCAAGTGAAACATAACTTGTATTCATTGTGAAGATGAAACAATTGTTTGAACAGGCAGGTTGAATGATTCAATAGCAGGTTCCATTTGGCGTCTTCTCGGTACATTGTCATGTCTTGTCAGTGCTTTTGGTTTTCTTCCTAGTTTTGCGTCCAAAAAAGAGGCCCTTTTGACTGCAGCTATTTTCTTGACATGATGGAGAAATCTTGAAGTGAAATGTGTATAAACCTATTCTTCTCCTCTTCATGTGTTTCATCTTATTTAAAGTTTAATGCACTTTCCCTTTTATTCCTTATCAATCTTTTCTTCTTCTCTCTGCTTTTGCTCTTCCTGCCTTTCTACATGATGCAGTCTTATACTTTCTCTTTCTTAGTGGGTCTCTCGGTTTATTGCCATTTGGTCTACAACCAGTTCGTCTACCAGTTCGTCGAAATTGTGACTCGGGTATGATTTGTTTCCATACCATACTACTAAAAAAAGATTCCTCCATGACCACCCCTCTCTCTCTCTCTGTGTCTCTGTCTCTGTCTCTCTCTCTATCTTGTTATACTCCTTTCTCTTTATGTCTCTGTCTCTCCCTCTACACCTCTCTCCCACTCTTTCTCTCTCTCTCTCTCTCTCTCTCCCTGACTTTTCTTTCTGCCGTTTTCCCTCTTTTCCTATTTGTCACTCTCTCACGCTTATTTTCTTCATCTATCATCTTGTCATCCTGCAACCGTTTTTATTTGTTTTTGTTTCGTTTTTGTGTGCGTTTCTCTTTCCCTTTCTCTTCCCTGTTTCTCTCCCTCTCTCTTCCTCTCACTCACTTATTCTCTCTCTCTTCCCCCTCCTCTCCCCTCTCACTCACTCACTCATTCTATCTCTCTCTCTATATATATATATATAATTATATATCTCTCTTTCTCACCCACACACTCTCTCTCTCTCTTCTCTGTGTGTCCCTCTTGATGTTAATGTCTTTCTTCCCACTTCTGTCTGTGTCGGTCTGTCTGTCTTTCTGTCCTTATTTCTTGCACTGTAGATCCTTGTTTATCCCCCTTTCCACCTCTGTCTGTTTGTTGCCTCTTCCCCTCTGTATGTCTGTCTGTCGCTCCCTCTTCCCCTCCTTTTCTACTGCCCTTTCCATCATGCAAGCAATCAAACTGATGTATCTGGAATCAACTTTTTTCTGAATACCCATCGTCAAATTGTGCACATTTTACTCCGACTATCACTTCGACCAATGTTCAAGTTGGTTACATTCATATCCACATGTTACGAGGTTCAGTCAAATAAATTAGCGTACAATTCTGCTTTAAAACATGAGTTACCTTTTTATTACATGATTTGCTATTTCATATTACACGATTTACATAGTCACAAATCAAAACAAGAAAAATGTACATGCAGAAAAACATAAACAACAAACAAACAAACAAAAAATAATAGTACCCCATAACATAAACGAAAAGAAAAAAAAATTATCAAATTTTTAAAATCTTATGTATCATACATAAAGAAAATGTCAATGGAATTTTGCTTGATTTAACTATTTTTTAAAGGGTTTACAGCGTAACTCCCTTCTTAATGTTTTAGATAATCATTGCGCTCCATCAAATAGAACACAAAAGGATGCATCGCTTGACAATATATAAGGCATCATTTTCTGTTATCATAATGTGCAATGCGGACCGCACGTCGAAGGTGAGAAAATTTGTGTTCATATATTTTAACCGAAACTGTCGATATCTCTAAATTCGATGGTTGATATTTTTTAAATCAAACTGATAAATTAGTAGGGAAGAAATTTGGGAAGGTTATGTCCCTGTCAACTTTGAAAGAAAGAAACAATAATAGGGTTGACGATAAAAAATACTACTACTGGACTAATGATTTGATTTTAAACCCCCTTTTCCATTCGAAATTCTAACGCAAGGGCGATGAATAATGACGTAATCCCATCGGATGCGATACTCATGAATGATTTGTTCAGAGGTCATTACAGTAATGCAAACTGGACAACCATTTTCTTCGAGGGAAACCACGTAGTCCAAGCGAAACACTTCTGGTCCTTTTGTTTACTGGGTATTGGTGACGGTTGCCATTTCTGCAAAAGGAGGGTCAAATGAAAGAAAATTGATATAATTTATTTATTCGTTCAATCATTCCTTTTTTATAAATATACTTATTGAGCTGTTTGGTTGATTTCTTCTTATTTATTTACTTATTCATTAAATTATTCAATTAATTATTTATTTATTTAATAATTTAATTATTTTGATCCTGGATCTTCCCCTGTTTTCGCTCATGTACACGAGACTTTGCAAAAATCAACCTATGACAATTTCAATACTTCTGTGCGTTGTATTTTTAGTTAACATGGCAATGACAATGATATTACGTAATCAGTCTTATCAACAGTTATTTTCGATTGATATTAATCGCAATTATGTACATACGAGATAAGAGACTATAGGAGATTGATTGGGGGACTAGCAACTCATTCGTACCAATCGCAGCTCTTAAAAGGACTGCATGGGCCCTGAACATGATTTTCATGAGATATACATTGGAGAAGTGATATTGCCTTTGATTTGATTTCTCAATCTTAAATCGTGTTTTAATGACTCACCCTTGCAGTACATCACGTTGGCTTGCTCGTTACAGACTGCCTCCATGGCCGAGCACCCGTCCTTCAAGTTCGTCACGTTCTCGCCGTCGGGTGAGTAGCACATCTTGCCCTCCTCGGCCTCTTCCAGGTAATCCTCGATCTTCTCGCCGTCGATGCCGCCGAGTCCCTCGATCTCGTCGGCTTCGTCCATGACTTCCTCGATGACGTCGGGGTCGCACTTGCCGCCTTCGTCCATCAGCTCTTCCGTGAACAGGCCGCACGCCGCGTCGAGGTGGAGCGAGATCTTCGATGTGAAAACTGTGGAACGTGTGGTATAACAGTTAAGGTGATAAATGAATCACTACCAGTTAGGAGTATAGCAGTTCAGGTGGTAATTGAATGACTTCCGGTTAGGAGATAAGTAAATTACGAACGCTTCCTAACAGTGGCGAGGGACGGGTCCAGCTAGTATCGGTGTCATGGGTGGGGGTGGGGAGGGGGTCGTACATCGATCGGTCTTACCAAATAATTGAAATGTGAAAGGATAATGCACAAGGGTGTGAGTGTTGAACAAGAAACATTCTTCTTCTATAAGCGTAGCCCTCCATTTCTTTCTTTCTTCCTTTCTTTCTTTCCTTCCTTCGCTCTTTCTTCTTGTTTTACTTCGTAATCTGTCTCTTTTTGCCATTCGTGGGGTTCGCGCCCCCATCCACCTGTAGCTACATGTACGTTACCAGTTTACGTGCAGCCACCCACTCAAACAAGAGTGGCTTTTTTACTTTCAATAATCTAGTAGCAAACAAGCCATTGGTGTTTTTGATTGGTTCTGGATAATTATATAAATAAATATATTTATCTTGTATACTACAGACTCGACTTACCCATAGCATCGGTGGTCCTTATAGCTGCACCAGCTATGACTACCAGACAGAGGATTGCAGCAACATTCATCTGAAAATATGGAAGGAAAGAAATTAAACTACATTGTACTTATATTATATCAACCACTTCCAAAGGAAATTAAGATTAGCAAAGAAGAAAAAGCTGAACAAATACCGCAGCCAACATTATTTGTAATATCTTCAAAGCACAGCTATACAGTATTCTTAGAGTCAGACTTGCATTAAATGAAATAAAACAACTCCCCAAAATGGCAATTAAATATGAAGTTATTGCCATCTTCCCAAACTTTGTTTAGAATGATGAATATTTCCTGATACATATTGTGATTGTACTCAGTAATCTGTGACTTTCCATACACATCATAAACTTGAGATGGATTAAGATAGTAATCCATGTGTTAGTGCTTTACTGTCGGCTCAATTATCATTTAACAAGTTTATTCATTACTAGGTCTTCGAACCCGAACTTACCGAAATGCCCATTGTAGGATGTCGCCCTCTTGAGTTTGGACAAACAAAATCAAATAGAGTTTGAGAAGCGTTTAGTTGATATCTTGCAAACTCGCTTAAAGTTGAGTAGAGATGTTTCTCTTGCTGTCCAGAGGCAACCAGTCAGTAAAGCCGAATGAAGTTTGAGTAGACATGCCCAGCATTTTATACATTCGTATCAACCTCGGAAAATTGGATATAATTATATTTATTTATCAAGAAATCGATCAATCCCTTTGCGAAATGCGCCCTGAGAGTGTAGCCTATAATGGATGCAAGGAGGATGATCCCGGGAGATATGCCGGTCATTTAGTTGAGAATGACCATCACTGAGAGATTAACAACATGAACAGCTTAAGCTGGCCACATTTATCAAACTGAGGCTGTGTTATGAACATGTGTTATAAAACGGTCTATTTTTCCAAAGTTTTTTACATGAATGTAAGGTCGACATTACTGATATGTGTCTTTTCGTGGGGTCGTGTGATCATCATAATAATAAATTATACACATACCAAAGTCGATCTCAAAGACAACGATTTGTTTAATAGCCAGGTGTAATAAAGGGCAGATAGTTTGTTGATAACGAGGTAGCTGGCCCTTAATAGTCACCAAATGACTGTTAATGATAACATGATAAGACTGTATATCTTGAGATCATGATAAAGTAATAATCATGTAATATAAGGATTATCTAGAATTCCATTGAAGCGACAATGACAACATTTATGATATCAACATTGAAATTCATTATGATATCCTTATTCCTGAAAACCATTAATCTTCCTAAAATGTTATGTAAAATGTGAAACATTAAGATTTTCTGCCATTCATTTGTTCATTCATCTATTGATTTATTCTTTTTTTTCTCTGTTTCCTCCAAACATAACTTTCACTTTAGTGAGAAAAAAAGCATTTCTAAAATACCATAAACTACTTCTACTTCTTGTACTACTACGACAACAACAGTACTACTACTACTACTACTACTACTACTACTACTACTACTACTACTACTACTACTACTACTACTACTACTACTACTACTACTACTACTACCATAGGCGCCGGAAGTGTGTGTGTGTGTGTGTGTGGGGGGGGGGGGGGTAAACGCTCAAATGCCCCCTCCCCCCTCCAAAAAAAAAAGCAGTAAAGGAGTAAAGATGGTTTGTATCTTTAACCCAAAAGAACATAACAATAATAAACACCTGAATTAGATGACGTATACAATTCCATTCAAAGAAAAGGAAAGTTAACAGGAATTCAATTTTCTAAACATTGCGCATGTTACCTATATTTATCAATGGAGGTTTTTATAATAGCGATACGCGCATATTGTGGACATATTGTGAGAGAATGGGAAAGCGTGTCTGTTATTTGTTATAGGGGTGAGAAGCTCATGAGCCCCTGAACGCTAGCGTACTGATGGGGGGGGGGGGGGGGGGGGTATTCGATACCAGTAATTTACAAATGTTGCTGAAATGACATGATTTTCCGGTATTTTTTCTCAATTCTTTTTTGTAAGTCATACCTTTTTATGCGTTTGTTGGAAAATTAGAAATTCCCAAATTTCCAGTCGGGCAAAAATTATAATTATTTAGAAGCCTTTATGTTAGGGTCTGCAGAACGGCCGGGCTCGGGGGCTCGAGCCCCCCTCACTTTTTGAAAAAGTTTGTTACAGAGAAAAGAAAGAAAGAGAGAGAGAAAAAATAAGTGACCTATAAGAGCTTTCGGGGGCTCCGCCCCCTGCATCCCACCAAGGGCCCTAAGGCGGGGCCCTGAATGCTCATATATCCGTAATTTAATACCTAAAACCCAAGGGACTCTGCTCTCTGGACTCTCCGCCAATTAGTGGCCTGCCAGTGTCACAAATAAGGTATCTAAATATGCTTATCTGACCATAATTTTAATGCCTAAAACCCTTGAGCTTCTGGGGGCTTAGCCCCTTGACCCCACGCCAATTTACGCTTTACCTGATCGTTAATAATCCACTTTGAAAAACGTTTCGCGGGGCCTGCATGTAACGTGTAAGAGTGGTGGTGATGCAGATTTTTCTTCTGCCCCCCCCCCCCCTTCCAAACGTTTTTGTTCGTTACGTCACTGCCCCTGGAAGGTGAGCCCCCTGGAATGTTTGCCCCCCCCCCCATCCCAAACTGCTTCCGGCGCGCCTGACTACTACTACTAATACTACTACAAAGTCAAAGTAGTACAGGTGTAGTTCTCTCGTCTCTCGTCTCTCTCTCTCTCTCTCTCTCTCTCTCTCTCTCTCTCTCTTTCAATATGTCACCTATCCGTAAAATAGCCGCACTTTCTTCATTGACCTCCTCTCTCTCTCTCTCTCTCTCTCTCTCTCTCTCTCTCTCTCTCTCGTTCTTTCTCTTTTGCCCTATTCCCTTCTCTCGCTGACGCTCTCCTGAGTCTTTCCACTCCCCTCTTCCATTCCCTCTGTCTCTGTTTCTGTTATTGTCTCTTTCTTTCTCTCTCTCCATCTCTCTTATTTCATGTTCTACTTGTTCTTCTTGTTCTTGTTCTTGTTCTCGTTATTTTTCTTTTTCTTCTTCTACTTCTTCTTCTCCTCTTCCTCCTCCTTCTTCTTCGTCTTCCTGTACATATGTTCTTTCTTCTTCTTCCAATTCTTACAAGTCATAATTATACTTCTAATTTAAGCATCAGCAATTAACAAATAATTAAATTGTTCACTGCATATCTCTCTGAGTTCATTTCATTACTTTTCCTGTATTTTGACATTAAAAAAAACATCTTACTATACGTTGTTTGTTAATTTCCTAATTATTATACATATTTAAATAGAAAAAAATTCACAAGACTTTAATTTGTATGTACAATGTATCTGATTACCGCACAATGATAACACAAAATGTAAGTGATACAAATATATTAACGTATTATCAAAAGTACAAACCAGTCTTTACCAATTTCTGTTATAGGATTAGACAATTTTGCCAGGGGAGGGGCTGACATCGCAATAAATTTCATACCTCATTGTAACAAATGTAATAATGTCAAACTCATCAGAATACATGAATAATTACATAAAACGTATCAATTACATTTAGAGAACCTTAAAGCTCGCTTATGAAGTGACGGTCGCTCGGATATTGATAATTTCACGGGGAGGGGTGGGGGTGCAGCCCAAACCCTTCTTCGAATGCATTTTTGTTCTGAGTATGTAAAACAACTGATATATCCCGTTATTGTTTATAGGTCTCATAAAGCCGTCCCTTTTTAAAGTTCTTGACCTGAACGCTAAACGCATGAGATTGACATTTTCAGTGCACTTGTTTTGCGGGTTTTGTTTTCATGTTTAAAGTTAAAGATAAAGACCAGTTATGGTCATGCGATTGCATTTTGAAAGAAACGTTGTGAAATCGTTCAGAAAAGGTAGATCATCTAGCATAGATGTACTGCAAGGTTCTGGAATCATCAAAATGATAAGAAATTTGACCCAGTCTTCATAAAGTTACAAGCACTGTACACAGAAAGATGCATATGGGACTACGCACACGTGCACGACACGTGTGTTTTTATCTCTCACAGGCCAAACTATAAACTAATTTACCAAATATATCAATTAGTAGGCGGTTTCCAAGCAATTTTTTTTATCATCATGTATTATTCAAAACATATTCTTTCACATGATTGGTATTATTAGCTTCCATTTCATTTTTTGAAATTGGGGCGTTTAAAATACTGGTCTTTACCTTTAATTCATTATTGTTAAATAAATTGTCTACATTTGCCACTCCATACCCAGGAGATAAATGAGACTCGGTAGGATGAAGAAACCCTTTGTGATGTTAATTACCATATGCCCTCGCGGTGACCATAATTATGGTAGGAATGTTCCTCAGGAATTGGAGATGGTGTACATGGTTTGAATGAATTCAACAACGGGGTAATATTGATTTCTGTAAAGTGCTCAGAGACGGAATTACAAAGAGCTCTATAAACCCAGATTATTTATTTATCATCAATATCTTCTTCTTCTACTTCCACTTCTACAATTATTATTATCATTTCAAGTAACATTTTATTATTTTCAATTTTAGTATTATTGTTGTTATTGTTGTTATCATTATTATTATTATCATTGTCAGTATTATTATTGTTATCATTATTGTTATTATTATTCCCTTAACATTCTTCCTCCTCTCCCTCTTCTCTTTTCTTCTCTCTCTCTTTCTCTCTCTCTCTCTCTCTCTTTCTCTCTTCCTCCCTCTCCTTCTTATGCAATATGTATGTCTGTTAGCTAGTGTCCCTCTTCCTCTGTCTCTCAATCATCGTCAATTTCGATATTTCATCTTCATTACTATCCCCAACCTCTTTTCCTCACAGTTCTGTCATCACGTCAAATCATTTTGTTCTCAATTTTCATCACTGTCAACACATTAACAACCGTCGAAACATATTTATCTTTAACCAAATAATTGTCATGGTATGGGTGCCAATTTTTATTGAATTCTATACTATTCGAGCAAAATTTACACAAATATCAACCTTTTACTAATATACACAAATCAAAGGGAATGACAATAGTACATTTACCGAAATTATACATAAATCGAATGAATATTAACAACGATCTTCTGAACGGTATCTCTTAAAACAGTTTACATTTCTATGGATAAGGTATGGAAGGCGTGTTCTTAACGTTTTATCTCTTTGTTTAAAGTTCCTTATACTTTTATACTGCTTATAACTCAAACGATTAGCATATTATTTAATGGTATTGTAATAACCAATTATATTTTGATGTCTGGAAAGTCTAAGTAGATTAAAAATTATTTACAATCTTGTTTGCACTGCAATTGAACAAAAGCTAAATGATAGAAAAATTGATAGCAAATCAAATCATATAAAATAAAACTAAATCTCATCGAATCAAACCAAATCAAATTTGAGTCAAATCGAATCAAATCAAATCAAATTGAATCGGATCGGATCGAATCGAGTAAAATAAAATCGAATCGAAT